TCCAGCATTTGTGGAACATGAAACACCATCATGTGAATATACGGAGTTATGGGGTATGTCCGTTATATCCTTCAGATTTCATACCAAGAAGCATTTGACCCCATTTCTTGGCAATAAAATGAAAGAGTAATATAGCATCAAAGAGTAATAGATAAATATTTACATTAATTGAAAATATTGTCTAATTTAGTTTATGAACATGARATATACCTTATTGTGAAAACTCTTGATGTCATCTTGATGAGGTGAAAGAGATGTTAAAATGTCATAGACTTCTCCAAAGTCCTAGTATTTGAAAATACAATGTTAATGAAATTGAAATAAGTTGTAGCCGTCTGTCAATAATTTAAGAATAACTTAATATAAGGTGTTTATCCTACCTTCCACAGTTGTGTAACTTTCTCTAATTGGGATGGGCGGACACAATACTTGAACTTCGATGGAAGATATCTCAAAAGTTTTTTCTTGTCTCCTCCCATAAGAGAGGTCCAATCCAACTTGTTTTCATTGTTCGTCTATACCTTAAACCCAACCCCACGAAATTCAAGAGTGTAATGTAGCAATCACATTATCTAGGTGCTTGCTCTTCTGCTGTGTTTTAGGAATGCCAAAATTATCCTCCTTTTGACAAAAAAGAAGCAACAATACATTCATTATCATTATCATCATCATCATCATCATCATAATGGGCTTCAGGCCAGTAACAATGAACGAGTTCTTTTAGGAGCTAATAAGGGGCAGGCCATTAATTCTACTAGGAGTTTGGTTGGTGGTAGTAGAAAGGTTGGTAAAAGGGGCAAGACTAAACATCGGTGGACTCAGGAGGAGAGAAAGGTGCTATGGGAGTGTTTTGTGAGAAGTGGTGGAAAGAAGTCAGGGGGTTATATCAAGCGGCGTGCGATAAACGCAGACTGCAGACCGCAGACTGCAGACTGCAGACTGGATATATATTAACATAAGTAAAAACCTAAATCTCAAATTCAAGTTTTCAAACAAACAATAAATATAGTCAATTTACTACGTAAGTAAGAAGCGTAACAACGCGAAAGACCGTACGCAATATTCAGCTTAAGGTGGATCACARCTAATGAAACGCAAATTTTGAACTTTTT